TTATTTTGATGGGTTCCCGAGCTACTGACAACATCCTAGAGAATCTCAAATAGTCCTTTGTTTTGGTTTGGTTTTTTTGTACCAGGAATCGAACTCACGACCTTGCACTTGCCAAGCAGGCGCTGTGCCGCTGAGCTACAACCCCAACCCAGCAACCTCAAATAGAAGTGGGAGGAGCACATCATTGGATTTGAAATTGTGATTACTCATTTTTCAAATCCATTCACCAATTTTTCAAGGTCTTTTGTGATCACCCACTAATGCTTACATATTTATGTTATCTGCAATCTTTTAAATGATTTATCCACTTTGTGAGGCTTAGTTTACTCAAAGATGTATAATACATAAATTCACTTAAGCAAGTATACATAAACTATTGATACATTGCAGTTTGTTTGCTTTAAGAATGAATAAGAAAGTTGATGACATTCTCTCAATGTTGTGCCTGCAAATGTTCCCTGGGAACTCCTTGCACTTGATAAATGCCCGGTGTGGGTGATATACAGACCAAGTGAGGGCACCAGTGTCAATCCGCAAGCTACTTACTAGTGAAGCTTAAATCCAATTAACAGATTAATTAAACCTGCAGCCTTCAAAATGTACTGTGATACCATATACTTATTTCTTTAATATAACATTTCTTTATATATATAATCTTACTTCTTTACATATGAATTTATTTTCAGAGTGATATAAAATCATAAACATTTGTTTCACATATTGGCTTGGCATGAGCCAAGGAAACATTTTGCTCTTTTAAAGTACATTAAACAAAGCCTATCATAAGTACACCAATACATATTATACAATAAGCATATTTCTACTCTTCCACTCTATGTTACTTTCTGAAGGCAGAAGCTTTTGCTAATGGTCATAGATAGAAATTGGGACTTGGGTGAACCAAGTTCTCTTCTAAATTTCATCTATAAATTGATGGATGGTAATTTTTACCTAATATTTGCTCCTAAGAACCTATACATGGCTTGAAGGTGGAAATATTTTTTATTGTAATACTTACTCCATGAATAGACGCTAGAGTCATCACAAGGCAGTGATCCTTGTGAGCTGTCAGCTTATGCCACCTTGACTAACCATCTTAATAAATGCTATCAGGTCTCAGTAATGAACTCTTCCATCTCAGTCTTAACACAGCATTCCTAATGTGTGTTTACGTGGTTCACTGCAGTATAGCCCTGGAGATTATGGTTTATACTTAAAGCAGTATTGTACTTTAGCAAGGACTGTGAGGTAAAAATTAGACAAAATGAAAGGGATTTAAGCAAACATTTTACAACATGAACTGTTAAAATCTGCCTCTCGTCTTTAGTTGTGTTAGATATTTGTGGAAATGTGTAATTGGAGCTCTCGGAATGTTAGCTTTCAGTAAATGATCATGTTATCCAAAAATATTTGGGAACACTTTTATAAAGAGGCAAATGTTTTCAAAGTGAAGTAGATGTCACTGATGGCAGAGGCAGACACAACGGAAAACCATTGAGATCAAGAACACTGCCCAGCCACCTATTATCATCTGCATAGAATTTTAGAGTTTACAGCATTTATCAGTGCTTTCTCTTCTATATATAGGAAGTATTGGGCAATTTATATAATAAGACTAGTTGACATAATCTCAGCCCTTCAGAAAAAGCCTACAAACTATGTTAAAAATCACAATTTTATTTTTCATATATTGCTAGCAACATTTTTTCTTCTTGTTTGAAGACTGATTTTTTTAATCACAAAGCTATTTCAACATTCCCATGAACCCAGCAAGAAAACTCTTCATCAAAGGCATAATTCAGACAATCACTGGAAAAACATGAGTCATTTGATCACAAGATCTTGAAGATCTTATTCTTCATATACATGTATCCACACCTCACATAGAGAATAAGCATCAATATCATCAAACCTGGAATATTTTCTTGTGTTGGAGCCTTACATAATGGTTGGTGTGTTCACCAGGGAATAACTAAGCTGCAAGATTTCTCCTCTAAGTACTTGATTGAACCCAGAGTCTCCACACTGAGCTACATCTCCAACCCTTTTGTATTTTTTGCATAGGATCTTGCTAAGTCCAATAGCTGCCTAGGCTGGGCTCAAACTTGTAATCTTCCTGCCTCAGCCTCCACTAGCTACAGGATCTTTTCTGACTGCTATGCCACAGAAGAATGTGGATTAACTGATCTTGTGTAAATCACAAAATGATGCTGACAGGTAAAAAGAAAGACCTTTTCACATTTTAAAAATAATACCATATAGTAAAAACAACATTAATGCCTCCCAAAGACTCCACACATACCTGGGTACTTTCTTTGAACTGGTGATCTGTGCTTGCCCCACACTAGACTATTTTCAGTTTAACTTATTTATACCAAAGGTTATCCAGCTTTTTGAATTTTTGTGTGAAATTCTTATGTCACCTAGAAAAATTCAAGTAATAAGCATATGAAGAGAAGAAATTTTATTTTGCTCCATTGTTATGGGCGTTCCAAAAAGATAACAGCAGGTATTTAAGGGCTAATTTTGTCTTTAACCCTCTACATCGAACTGATCTCCGTGTGAAGACATTACTCATGTTTGCCAAGATCTCCCCTTTCTTGTTCCTATGATTCTTTTGCCTGATGAAATGTGAGAAGTGACCTGTGTCACTTGTGGGTGAAAACAGTCCAGTTTCTGGGAGCATTTTCCCATGGTCTCTTCCCCATTTCCTATATTCTCTACCACGGTCCTCATGGAGAAATCACAGGAATAAAGCAGGCTGCAATAAGGAGTCACCATGACAGCTCTCTGGGAGATTGTGCATGAGCAAGAGATTAACTTTTGGTACCAACCAACTGAGATTACGGCAGCATTTGTTACAGCAGCAAGATCTAGTCTATCACATAGTCTCTCACTAGCTCTACTCCCACTGATCACCATTTATGCGGTAGTCCGCAGCTACATATGGGGCTCTTACATCAATAAATTGTGTTCATGTATAAATCAACTGGTCATTGACTCAAAGAAATACCTCAAGAAAGTAGCTGGGATAAATCACAGTGTGTGTCCCATGCCCGTGCCAGGACCCTGGGTTATCCCAGAGAGCTTTTCGATGCAGACTGTCATACTGTTTTATTACCAAGGAGGTATCTGTTTCACAGCGGGGACACACTCGAGGTTAATGAGGAATTTAGTGGAAATACATGTCAAGCAACTGGAAATACAGAAATAGGACTTGGGAACAGGTTAGGAATGTGGGCATGAGTTCAGAAGTAATCTCCACACACTTAAAGTGGAACATAAAATATGAATAAAATTTCGAGGCAAACGGAAGCGGGGAGAAGCCAAGAAATAAGTCTCAGGAAAACACCTAGATTTGGGGGGGAGAGAGAGAGAGAGAGAGAGGAGCAAAGGAGAGGAAGAGATAGGAACTATGATGACAACAGCCATTCATTTTGAGAGCTAAGAATATCATATCTTCATTAATAAATTCATTTAAATTTAAATTTCAAGGTTTTTAATGAGGATAAAAAATGTACTACTCCTTAACAATCCATTTACTCTCCTCAATATTAAAATAGATCACCCGTCTGACAGGCAGCTGGACATTATCTATAATAAAAAGCAAAATGATTTTTAGTTTAATGTCTCAGAACTAATCGATCAGGTTTTAAAGCAGAAACAAGAACTTTGTGAACATGTACGATTTGCTCAGCAGTATATCCATTTACTCAGCAAACACCCTACCCGACTGGCACATCTGGCAGGCTACAGGGGCGCAGTCACGCTTCCTGGGCTGGGCACCTCACTCTGTGCCATTCCACACACTGCTCCCCTTGCAGGCACCCTGGGTTTTGTGCCAGCTTGGTATCAGTCGCGTCCCCATTTTACAGCTTGTTAGGCTTCGATGTGAAGAAACTTGCCTAAGGTCACACAGCTAGCAAGAGGTACAGTCAGGACTCAAAAACAGGCTGGGCAGCGCCAGACTGACTAATACTCTAAGCCTTGCTGCTGAACGTGTGGTCCTCAAGGTAGCAGCGCGGAGATGACCTGGGAGTTCGCTAGAAAGGCAGGCTCTCAGGCCCAACCCCAAGCCCACCATCAGAAGTTTGTTTATGCAGTACTGACTGAACCCAGGGCTTTGGCACTGAGCTCCATCCCCAGCCTTTTTTTTTTTTTTTTTTTTTTTTTTTAATAGAGTCTTGCTAAGTCTCTAAATTGCCCAGGCTGAGCTTGAATTCTCAGTCTTCCTGCTTCAGCCTCCCAGAGTTCTGAACTTACAGGATTGTGCTACCAGGCCCAGCTAAAGTTTGGTCTTAGCAAGATCCCTAAGGGGATCTTCTGTATATTAAAGTTCAGGAAGCGCTGCACAACCAAGACTCAGCTGTAATGAATATTAAGAGAGATGCGACCTTCCCCGTGAGTAATAACTTGGAGAAAAAAACGTATTTTTGCGCTGTCCAAGGGTTAAGGGAAGTATTCGACCATTCGCGAGTGTTGTGATTGGCAAAGGTCTAGACCAAAGAAGCGGATACTGAGCTGGGACTTGAAGCCAGAACATTCTCTCAATTCATTTCATTAAAAATAGGTGCTGTTCCAAATGGCAAGCGCCCACATCAATAATCTTCCGGAGTCAGAGTCTGCAGCCTGGATACCGGCATCATCCGGTAGAACTGAAACCCCCATACAGCGTACAGTCGCGTTACGGAGCTTAGAATGGCTTCGTTTAATTAATAAGTAATTATTAATTAATGGTAAAACTGGTTTGGCCCTCTGCATCAGTCACGCCCCGGGGGTGAGTGCAAACTGTTGGGGTGAAAAGCAGCTCCGCAACACGTTGGGAGCCAGAGGCAAGGACTTCACGGGGGCGCGGCGCCGCCTTCTCCAGCCCCGCGCCCCTCCTCCCGCTCGGGTGGAGCCCGCGGGTCGGGTGCGTTCCAGCGGCCGCAGCTTTTTTCTCTCCTGCACCACTTCAGTGCGTCTTCCTACCGCCCAAACCAAAGTCCTCCCGCAGTTACCTGGGGCCGGCGCGTCTCGCCGCCCGCTTGCCCCGCGGGGGTCTTCTCGCACCAGCACCCCCGGGAGGGGGCGGCGCTGGCCGGGTCTGGAGCGGACTCCCGGAGGCGCGGCGGGGGCGGGCGGCGCGTCACGGGCGGCGGCGGGGGCGGAGCGCGGCGGGCCGAGTGGGTGGGGAAAACAAAGCCCCCAGCTGTCAGCAGAGGCCGGAGGCGACCGCGCCGGAGCAGGTGAGTCAAGTGCATTTAAAGTGGTACCGCCCCGGCGCACCCCAACGCCCTTTGCCCTGGCGCAGTCCCTCCCAGGCCGGGCGCCGCCCGCGCCTCCTCCCGCCACCCCGCCGGGGTCTGCAGCCTGTGGGTCGCGGAGTAGCGGAGCGGGGGGGTCCCCGAGCCCAGCAAGAAGTTGTGCGCGCACGACGCCGTGGCACCCTAGGTGTGCACCCGCCGCACTCCGGCGGGCCTCACTTTCCTACGGGGGCCCCCAGCGTCGCAGACCCCAAGAAAGGGGAAGGAGTCGGGCTGCCACGCTGGCAGAAGCAAAGTGCCCTGGCTGAGGGGTGAGGGCTGGGGCCGGGCAGGGTAGGGGGTGTGGGCGTCGGGGACTGAGGGGCCTTGCAGGTGCGCGCCGGGAGCGCGTGGCCCTCCAGGCCAGAGAGTTCGGGCGCTGGTAGGAGCTTGGCGCACTGGGGCAGACCAGGAAATGCAGCGCGTGAGAGCGACCCTTGCACCGAGAACCGGCTGCCTACCCAGGGCTGCCCGTTGGGCGGACACGACTCCTATAACCCCACTCCAGCCTCGTTCCTGGCGCCCGGACTCAGAGCCCCGGCGGGGTCGAAGGGGGTCGGTTAATGTTCTGCGCCCAAGTGGTGCTGCCGTGGGGCGCACCCTGAGCGCCGGGCGAAAGCTGCTCAGACTCCCCTCTGCTTCGATGGGAAATTCTTCGGTCTAAGTTTACCAGGACTACGCGGAAGCCAGGAGCTCCACAAAGGACCAAGAAGGAGAGGTTGATGCAAAAAAGACCCCTTTCTCTTAACTCGGGACGTGAGCTCGCGCCGAGCTTTAGGCCCCAGAAGGGTGAGCCACTGGGTCACCCCGCGTCTCTTTGCCCGTCCAGCACCGAGGGCAGAGCTGTAACCTCGGAGGAAGGGGCGCTGCGGCCGTTTGATCAGGCGGAGCCTTTGTCTTAACCTCCAGTCCCCTTCTGCTAGTCCTCTCCTAGCCAGTGGCGCGTGGAGTAATTAATATTCCGAACATTAGTGGTGCCTTCACCTCCGCACCTGCCACTGCTGCCGTCTTCTACCCGTGGGTCGCTTCACTTTCTTTTTCTTTTTTTCTTTTTTTTTTTTTTTTTTTTTTTTTTTTTTTTTTTTTTTTTTTTTTTTTTTTTTTTTTGTCTTTTTGAGACAGGGTCTCACTATGCAGTTCAGGCTGGCCTTGAGCTTACTTTGTAGCCCAGACTGGTCTCGAACTCGCAACGATCCTCCTGTCTCAGCCTCCCCAGTGCTGGGATTACAGGTGTGTGCCACCACGCCTGGCTTTTTGGGTCGCTTCACTTTCTCGCGTTCAATTTTCCTACCCCTCCCAAAAAAAGAAAGAAAAAAGTGGGCCACGCCCACGAGATAAGAGGTTATTAAGAGCTCAGCAGGGCTGGCCACGTAAAATCAAGGGTTAAGTGTTCAAACCTGCGCCCGCCCGCGCTCTGTGGTGGAAGAACTTTCTCAATTAGCATAGTATCTGCCCTGCGGCCGCGCTGCAAGGCGGAGGTGCGGTCTCAGGTCTCAGCCGCGGTGACTTGCAGAACTGTCCCGATTGAGGTCCGAACTGCTCCTGCTTCTAATCAGAGAGGACTCGCGGTTTACAACTTTGCTGAACAGGACACTGTGGGATGAAACAGAACAGAGATCAAAAGGTAACCAGAATAGCAACATTTGATGCGTTTCTCTTAAACACCAGCGGGGGTGGGGGTCCTTGCCTAGACAGCGTACTTCCTAGAAACGTCTTCCTTGGCTTGCTTCACAGTCGTTGTCTGGCAAACTAAGACATCGCTTAGGGGCCTTGCGTCGGAAGACCTCTAAGGTAGGCGGCTTCCCAGCCCACCATGTGCACTTTAGGTGTGTCTAATTGCTAACGTTTTCTTGCACAGCAAAAGCGATGCCTCGCCAAAGCACTGGTTTCTAGACTTTGCTGCAAATGAAAATCACCTGGGAAGATTTGACAAACTCATCTACATCACATCCCAAACATTTAAATCCGATTGGTGATGAGAATTAAGCTCTGCTGTTTGGAAAGGAAAAATCAGAAACAAACATTCCAAGTGATTCCAATGTGTAACACAATTGGGGAACCACTGTTGCAAAAGAAAAGTTCAGTGACCACATAAGCAGGCGTTGCAAGACAAGATGCCAGGTTAACTGCATGAGTGGGTGAGAGAAAAGACACTGAAACTGGGCTGCTGGTGACTAAAGTTCTGAGGGAGGGGACTGTCAGCTGACAGCTTGGCTGGCTGACAGCGACACCTACTTACACATCGCTTTCCCCTTCCCTGAGTTAGAGTGTAGTTGTTGGAAGGATCAAAGTTGATGGTCAGTGCCTGGTTTCTGCCGCGTTGTTAAGGGAGACAAACTTTCCTTCCTGTGATGACAGAGTGTGGCAGGCAGCAGGGAAACCCAACGAAGCAAATTTGGAGCAGCTTGGTGAGTCAGCAGGCTGCACTCCAAAGCAAGCTCGGGGAATAGGAAGTAATTACAACGAGTAGCTTATTGACACGCAGGCACTTGGTCCTTGGAAAGCAGATTTTAATATCTGATCAGGATGTTTGCTCCTAAGAGCAGCCCCCTTTTCCAACCCCTTATTCTACCTGCTTCCAGTGAGGCTCTCTGCTGTCAGAAGGAAGACTCAAGCCAACTAGACATCTTGTAGTTTCCTTGATGGAAAGTACATAAAAAGCGGATGGGAAGGTGGAAACTGACTTGGGTTATTTCAGATGTGTGAAGTAGGTAGAATTTCAGTGCATATATTTTGAATACAAAAAAAAACGCAAATACTCTTTGATCATGCATTCAAGGATGAATTTAAAAAACTATTTAAATAGGAATGGCTGTACCTAATATTTTATATAAAGTTTTGCTGGCTAGTGATCAAAGCTTGTTGCTTTAGAAAAAAAAAGGCAGCCCCAAAAGATAACTCTGAGTTCTTTAACGATGCACAAGGTGTATTAAACTTACTCCTCCTATTCTTGTTGCTGTTTTAGTTTCTATACCTCTTCCTCTTTTCGGGTTACTCTTTACAGCACTGTGGTTGTCTCTTCAGCTTCACTTTCTTTTTTTTTTTTTTTTTTTTTTTTTTCCTCCGGTACCGGGAACCGAACTCACGACCTTGCACTTGCCAGGCAGGCGCTTTTGCCACTGAGCTAAATCCCCAGCCCCCAGCTTCACTTTCTTTAAGGGGGACAACGGTGCCTGGCATGTAACAAGGGCTCAGTGTTGCCTGCTGTTGAACTTCACTGGAACCTGTCTTGTGGCACCTACGTCCCCGGCTTGGAATGCTGTTATCCCTACCAGCCTTTGTGTCTATAGCTCCAGAGCACAGTGCACGAGACCCTTTGTGTTATAAATGCTGCTTGTTTGTACTGGAGATTACCAGAAGGTAGAGGGAACGTTGGAAAACAAAACCTCCTAAATACATTCAGTTGTATTATTTTCCAATACAGACATTCTGGATGTATAGAAGCCAGAAATTGCTTACCATTCTTAAATGCTATAAAGTGATAGTTAATCTATTCAATTACACTTTTTTTTTCACAAAGACACTTAGTATTTCAGCATACTAATAATCACTGTAACATTTAACCATGCTGTCATGGATCCACTGAGCAAAAGTTTACTCCGTGACCATTACTGTGGAAAAAAATTCCCTTATGGAGTTAATATTCAGCTAAGGAGTTAATAGTCATTAAGCTAGGAGTTACCTCAGAACACACCACTTTTATTGTCACCTACCCACTATCATTAAAATAAGACAAGTAGGGCTAAAGGTGTAGTTCAGTGGCAGAGTGCTAGCCTAAGAAGAGCAAGGGCCTGGGTTCAATTCCCAGCATGACAAAAAGTACCTAAGTATGCTTTAAATACATTTCAATAGCCGGCATATTTAAGAGTGGAAGTTGAATGTTTTCTTTGATAGATGCCATAGAAAATTGATGCCACTAAGAATTTCCAAAGGCCAAAATGTCAGTGTATCTAGTCTTACTTTTCTGTAGATTAGAAAAGGAGCTAGGGATCTAGCGGTGCACTTTTGAAATTTTGATTGGGAGATAGTGTAAGATATTGAAGGGCAGAAATGTAATCTAGAAAACAGGACTAACAGGATTAATCCATATGAGTCACAAACTTTATCAGGGCTTAGTATGTATCTAACTCGGTAATATTTACAAAAAGGGGTAGGGTAGAAACAGCGTAATCTCATTTTAGAAGCTCTGGAGTTTTTGAGTCACTCAACATTATTCCTTGAATTTATACTCTTTTGGTCTTATTAACATATGGGGAACTAAACATAAGTGGATAAATCCAGGCAGTGAAGTAAGCCTCCAAAGTGGCAATAACACAGCTAGAACACTGGGTTATTGACTCCTATCTCATATTTGTTACATCATGTAAGTTGGATGTAGTCTTTCTAGAGGTTTTGAGTAGGCAAGATCTGTTCTCCTTACGTCCTCCCTCCTTAAAATAAGAGAAACTCTTCATGTCTGTCATGCTGTCGCAGCCTTTGCTCTTAAACAGCCTTTAGACAGAGACAACCTTAAACAGTCTGGGCCACCTTTAGTTTCTTTTGTGGTTAACGAAAGTAATAAGTTCGTTTTCAAATCTTTCCCCAAGTTATGGAAGCATAAACTCTATCACCCAGTGAAGTTTAGTCCTATCACCCAGTGAAGTTTCAGCACCCTCTGCAACATCTTCACAAAGAAGTCCTGTGACTCATGCTTATTATCTCCCTCATGGGAAACTCTTTGCAACTCATTTCTTACAGCCATAAATAATGGTCCAAATCTTATGTAATTCACCTGCAACCATATGAAACATTGAAAG